CCCGACATCTTCCTGCGGGTGAACACGACGTGCCTGGAGACCGGCGTTTTCCCGTCCAACTGGAAGCGCCAGAGACTCGTCCTGCTCCAAAAGCCAGGCAAACCTCCCGACGAGCCGTCCTCGTATCGTCCACTGTGATGCTGGACACGGCGGGCCAGATTCTCGAGAGAATCATATGCGACCGGCTGGAGGCTTTCACAGAGAGACCCCGAGGCCTCTCGGAGCGACAATATGACTTCCGGAAAGGGCGATCAACGATAGATGCCATCGAAGACGTCATTTCCACCGCCCGTGAGGCCATCGCCGGTAAGAGATGGTACAGCGGCACCAAAAAGTACTGCGCCGTGGTGACACTCGACGTGAGGAATGCGTTCAATTCGGCTCGGTGGGACAACATCCTCGCCGCTCTACGCCGTTTGCTCGTACCCGATTACTTGCTGAGAATAATTTCCAGCTACTTCTCGGCAAGAGTGCTCGACTTTACCATGGACGATGGTCCAGAGTCCTACGAAGTCACGGCAGGTGTCCCACAGGGGTCAGTATTGGGCCCGATCCTATGAAACGTCATGTATGACGCGATCCTGCGCCTCAACTTCGATGGCGATGTTCGTATCGTTAACTTCGCGCACGACATCGCAGTGGTGGCTGTTGCCAAGCATCTATGGCAGATCGAACACGACCTGAACGCTGCTATACTACAGGTGCGAGGCGCGCTCCAAGCTCTCAGTTTGCAAACAGCTGACCACAAGACGGAGGCTCTGCTCATCACAAGCAGGAAAAAAGAGGAAACCATCACCATCACTGTAGGCGACCACAGCATACGCTCGTCCCCTCCATCCGCTACCTGGGCCTGCACATCGACGCCAAGCTGAAGTTCGACCACCAACTCCAAACAGTCAGCGCGAAGGCAGCCAGTGTGATCGGTGCCCTTACGAGGATCATGTCCAACTCTGGCGGGCCCAGAAGCAGCCGACGCAAGCTGTATGCTCACGTCGTCGACTCCATACTCTTGTATGGAGCCCCCATCTGGAGCACAGCAGCTCAAAAGCGAGCCTGCCTGCGTGTGATCGGAGGCCGGCCGCATGTCTCTTACGAGGCCACGTATGTCCTTGCCGGCATACCACCGCTGGTCCTTCTTGCGGACGAGCGAGCGCGACTCTACGGCCGCCGCCGAAAGGACGCAGAGGACGAGGAACGCTTGGCAACGCTAAGCAAGTGGCAGGAAGCATGGGACCGGTCGACGAAGGCCCGATGGACGCACCGACTGATCCCAAATAACAGAGTGTGGATCGAGAGGAGGCATGGAGAGCTGAACTACCACCTCACGCAGCTCTTGACCGGGCATGGCTTCTTTAAACACCATAGCCGACGCTACGACCTCAATCAAAGCGCGAAATGCCCGGTCTGCCCCTCATCCATCGAGAACGCGGAGCACGTATTCTACTACTGCCCGAGGTTCAGCGAAGATAGAGAGAGACTACACTCTCTGCTCCACGAGGTCATGACGCCAGAAAACACCACCAGGCTCATGCTCGCGAGCGAGCCGAACTGGCTCGCGGTTGCTTCCTTCGCCTACTCAGTCGTAACAAGACTGAGAGGCGAGGAAACAGACAGAAGGTTACGACCGGACGATGCGGCGAGAAGAAGACGCTACTCCACTCAAGCCTTCATGAAGCGCAAAACGCCAATCCCTCCATCCCCGTGAAGTAATGTTTAACGGCGGTTTCCGCGGGGATGGAACAAAGGGAACCCCGACGCGGATGTATTTACATAGTCTATGTACCCTTAAGCAATATGTTTCATTTTCACTTCTATTGATACATTTAACCTAATGTAAACTTCTACTTTTACTTTCTGCTAAATAAAATATATTAATACATCCTAAAAAAAAACACACACACACACACACACACACACACACACAGACATGTGTTAGGAATTCAATCTAGTTTACAAATATGTAAACCAAATTGTCCTACGAGCTCTGGTTCAAAAACTCATTTTCTAACCCATCATACAGCTTCCAATATAGCTTTGTCTATGGAGGAAGCATTATTGGTATTTTTGACGATGAAGTAGTGAATGAGTCATTCACGGCGAAGATATGGGTAAAATATTATTGAGTATAATAATTACTTTAGGAATTTATTTTGGGAAAGCAGTGTGACACAAGAAGTATAGAGTGATTGAAAAGATATTTGTAAACTATTGCGACAAGCAACTACAAGGCTTTCTATTTTACCCTGCAGTGAGTTTCCACCATTATTTTATTATTCGGACCTCGTCCAGCCTTACCGAATTTCAAGAGAAGGTTCATGCCTCTCGGTGAATAGACCCGCTATTGGTGAGCTCTTTACTCCATCTGGGCCATCTCGTATCTGAAAATGGACCTTAGAGGTCTTGGTAAAAATAATTAACGAACGATTTTCGTTCATAAACTGATTATTCCTTACAACTCATTTTGCGAGTAGCGTTTTGATCTAGCTTCAGCCTACATAGGACTTCACACACTCTGCCAATTCGTCCACAGAACTAAACTCGACACTTACTTCATTTATAGATTTTTAGCAAGAAAGTCGTATAAATAAAAAGGAGTATAGATGAGAAAATAAAAAGAAGAAGTTTGATCTTTAAACCATATAGTTACGAACCCACGATCCCAACGGGCACTCGTTATTTCTTCTCCTTTCCACCTCCCGTCGATTTTCTCCTTTTTTTTTCTCTTCTAAATAGTGGACTATTTTCGAGGATTTTATGATGTCCACTGTAGTGAAACTACTGTATAAGTTTATTATACTTTTTTATCAACTGCGGAGAGCTAAGATGACGAGCTCGACGATAAAGGAGATCACGCCCACAACATCTACACTGCCGTTCAATCACTTTTGCCATACTTAAGTAAAAAATGAGTAAACTTCAAAACGTCATAACTCAGTCAATAAAAGTTATATTAAGATTTTGAAACCACCATTTGAAAGGTGTTTTCAAGCACTTTCTAACTTCTTCATATAAATTTCTTCATATAAATTAGTATCAGGATTATTCATTTATTAACTTATTTTTGTTATCAATTAACAAGTCGAAAAAAAAGTTTTTCTGGTCTTTGCTATGTCTGCTATCAGTTTAATAAGAAGACTCGTAGAAAAATTTTGAGCCCATAAATTTGTAGGTTTTTTCAAGACCTTTAAATCCTTTTTTTAAATAGGGTCCTATGGGCCTTATTCGCAAAGATACAGTCGTTTACTGGACCTCAATATTTTTTTAAATTCTAAAATTTTGATGAGTCAAAACCATGAATATTCTAAGAATCCGATCCATAACAACTAATTCTTATCCAACGTACAAAAACAAACATTTTTTGGAACTAAAGTGTTTTCCCATCTCATTTACAAAGCCGTGTACATATAAATGAAAAATAATTTGAAAATTAAAAACAATTATTGCTCTGTAGTTAAACCATCGTATCTTTGCGAATAAGGCCCATAGGACCCTTTTTAAAAAAAGGATTTAAAAGTCTTGAAAACCCCTACAACTCTATGGGCTCAGAATTTTTCTACGAATCTTCTTACTAAACTGATAGCAGACATAGCAAAGACCAGAAAAACTTTTTTTTTCGACTTGTTAATTGTTAACGAAAATAAGTGAATAAATGAATAATCCTGATACTAATTTATATGGTTAGAAAAGGCTTGAAACTACCTTTCAAATGGTGGTTTCAAAATCTTGATATGACTTTTATTGACTGAGTTATGACGTTTTTAAGTTTATTCATTTTTCACTTAGGTATGGCAAAAGTGATTGAACGGCAGTGTATGTCACAACTCTGGAGTCATCCAGTACCCTTCAAGAAAAAGGCACACGAGACAGGTTGTTAATCTATCAACGCACGGGACGGTTACTCAGCAAGATTAGTAATCAAAGAAGACTCTAACACACTAAATTGAAGAGAGATGTGCACATAACCCACTGCACCACCTTACATGTAGCATGGGTCATGCATCTTTTTAGAGGACAGATCACAATTATTTCTGAGTAAACTAATGTGAATAAAATGAGATCGCGAACTCAAATTAATTAAGTATTAAGCGAATTCAATCAAACTTGATTTTTTGGACCTGTCCGGTCAACTTCTCTCCCTTGTCAAGTTCCCATCAACGGAGAAATACTACAGAGCACGACACCGCTGAATCACAGATCAGTCAGTGAAACTTCCTCAGCCACTTCCCAATAGCGGCCACTAGTCACTACTCCCAGTCTCGGTGACGTTTGAATACCTTCTCAATGGTAGCCACTTTTCGTGTCTTATATGCCTTTGAAAAAATGATACAGCACAATGAAATTTGAGGCCCAGAGATGAAAGGCTCTCCTTTTTAGTTGTAGACGGCTTTCAATATCTACCTATTGATCTTGAAGGAGAAGGTGTGTAGTACAATTATTTAATTTCACTTGGCGATAAATACTTTAGATATTAGGTTTCACGAGGTTAATTTACATGAACAAAACTTGGTTTATTGATAAGAATACAGTATGATTTTCTGAAAAGAAAAACATTGAAAAGACAAAAAATGATTGCTACACTAAAGATAGGTGTGACTATATTTGAATGTAAACTGCAATCAACTGATATTTATTTCTATATACCAGTTTACGTCAATAAATCTAAGTATTATTAACGATAATTCATACAAGTGACAATTAGTGAATTTTATTTTAATTTGACAATAAAATAACTCTTTCATTTATATTCCTGAATCCAAATGTGCAAGAGATAGTTGGATAGAAGATCAGAGTTCTAGCTTACTAAATGACTAATTTAAGTAGATAAATTGCTTATATGGTCAGACGTAATGTATAAAATGGAAATTTTATGACAGATTTTGAAAAATTTTTTGTGAATAATCATAAAGTATATCTATCTATGAATATATCTATCTGCGAATAAATTTATAAACTCTTTCTTAAATACTTTGATATTTTCTAAGTAAGTTTTTTACTTTCAGATCGACCCAAAAGTAGCGTTTCCAAGGAGAACACATCCAAAGGTAAAATTGATATTTTCAATGTATTTAGTTGTATATAAAAATGTATAAATTATCTTTGAATAGTTATTTTTTTACTAAAATAAATTATAAATTTTCATAATGATAAAAAAAATAATAAAAAAGAATACGCGAGTAAATTTCCATCGCAAAAATAACTCAACCAATCACAGGACATTTAAAGCATCTTCACTTTTGGGACCATCACTGCTATAAAAATCTTGTATGCTGTAGATAGGCGATTGTGCCTACGCGCCAACATCAGAACTTATTCAAACATTTAATGATATAATACATTAATCAATCAATCAATCACTAATATTAGTTTTATTGTTAATTTTAAGATTTATAAAAAAAATTTGAAGCAGATACTCTTTCTCGATTGTATTAAATCAATGCTAAATATTTAATTTTTAGGTCTGCAACAAAAACTTTAAAAGATATTAATAGTTGTAACTTTTATATTATTGTGTGAAATAATAAATTTTTTATTTAATGTTATAATCATGTCTAATAAAATATGTAATCTTCTAAAAAGTTACACTTCTACCCTGTTTCGCTACGTTTATGACCTATCCATGTGTCAGATTTAATATCTCACAAATGTAACTACGTTATGACATTCATTTCTTTCGATTCTTTTTCCAAACTATTTTTTTAGCCAGAGCTAATATCTGTGTAAGTCACAGACCCAACTTTTTAAAAGCGTAAACTTTTTCATTTTATTAATTGGTATACATTAAATTAATTAAATTAGGTTTTAGCTTACTTAGTAATGGCATCATAGAAAATAAGGTATCGATCATTTGATTACATCAAACTACTTGTGAAACAACATCAGTGTAACTCAAACAAGTAATGTCTGCAGTTTTTGGAAAATGCCTAAACTGCAAAGAAGAATACAATATCATAAGTGTTGATAAAGACCATTATAAAATAACGCGTCTAATTTTATCGTATGCCCTGAATAAATATGACACACAAGAAGCAAAATTACTACTTATAAATAATTTTGAGTAGATCTGATCAAGAAAAACTGCATTTGATTCTCAATTCACATTTAGAATTCTGAAAGGATTTTCAAAATAGATATAGTCACAAAATGTTGTTTACTACGATGCAGGCTCAAAAATACTATAAAAACTGGAGTGTGAAAACGACCCGTGATTTTTCAGAAGCAGCATAAATGAACATACAAAACACAGGAATATTTGAAAACAAGAGATGCAAGATGATAAGTGGTCTTTAATAGTTTCGTGCTTTATAATATTCTTAAATTAACGTAAAACAAAGTTTCAGAACAAATAATTGCGGTGTTAAATACAAATAAACCCGGATCAAATGTTAATGACAGTCTGCTGACTTCTAATTGATTTTCCAGTAGCTAAAAATTACATTTTTCTAAAATTGAATAAAGTATATACACTGCCCTGCAATCACTTTTGCCATACCTAAATAAAAAGTGAGTGAACTTCAAAGTGTCATATCTCAGTTAATAAAGGTCGGGTCAGGATTTTAAAAATACCATTCGAAAGGTCTTTACAAACCCTTTACAACCAAATAAATTATGATAGGGTTCAATCATTTATTCACCAATTGTTTTCAACAAATAAAGAATCGAAAAAATCAGCTTTTCTCGTCGTTGCTATTTCACTCGCCATTTTAGTACAAAGTCATGTAGAAACATTATGAGCCCATCACTTTGTAGGTTTTGACAAGACCTTCAAATCTGTTTACTGTGCATTTTTCACGAAGATACGGTGGTTTAGCTGTAGAGAAATAATTGATATCATTTTTCAATTTTTTTTTCATTCATACGTGCACGGCTTTGTAAATAAGATGGAAAAAAAACGTAAGTACAAAAAGTGTTTTTGTATGTAGAATATGAAGTAGTACTTATGGATTCGATTTTTAGAATATTGATGGTTTTAACTCATCAAAATTTTGAAATTTCAAAAAATATCAGGGTCCAGTTAATGCCCGTATCTTCGTTAAAAATGTACGTAGGACAATTTAAGTTAAACAGATTTGAAGGTCTTATCAAAACCTACAAATTGATGGGCTTCGAATGTTTCTACAAGACCTTCTACTAAAATGGCGAGTGAAATAGCAACGTCGAGAAAAACTGATTGAACCCTATTATAATGTATATGGTTGTAAAGGAATTGTAAAGACCTTTCGAATTGTTTTTTTTAAATCCTGATCCGACCTTTATTGACTAAGATATGACACTTTGAAGTTAACTCACTTTTTATTTAGGTATGACAAAAGTGATTACAGGGCAGTGTATGTAGAGTGCAATTATATTTTTGCAACTCAACATAGTGTTCCATAATAGAGCTATGAAGAAGTTTCGATAGCTTTTTGTAAAAAATTTAACAATTGTAGCAGTATAAATGAAGGAATATAATAGTAATTACATATAAACATTGTCACTTATAGATCACTGTATAATATGTACTAGCGACTTACCTCGCTCGGTTTAGTCAGAGTTTTGTAAGAATTTTTAAGAAAGTAAGAAATATAAAATAAGTGTTTACAAGGTATATACCAGGTATATATAATGTATACCCTTAATCAATATAAATTAAAAAAAAATATGCAGAATTGATTTATGCGTCTAAAAATAGCTTTCTTTGATATTATGGAATTTTTGCACTTTGCGCAGAGTTCACGCTAGAATTTTTAAGATTGAGACCTTTGAATTGAACCAAATTTTTCAGTAAAATGCTCTTCATGTGATGAGTTTTGTGAAATGTTCATTTAGACCTTTAGATCAATTCCATAATTCAATATTCACTCAAAAGCTGCAATGAATTTTTTCATTTTTTGCTTTTTATTCATGTAACAATTTTTTTTATTAGTCTAATCGATATTCTACAAAACTCAGCTTTTAGAGAATGTTTTTCCAAAAAGTTTATCTTAAATTTTCTAAACTAACAGAAAATCTTTGGGATCTCTGGAGCAAATGTCAAAAACTGAACTTTTCAACAGAGCCGAAATCAAGTATTTGTGCTTTAAACATTAAAAAATTTTACTACACATCATCACTGAACCAAGCATGATTAACACTCACTTATTACTCATTCTCATATCAATTTAAACTATTTTCACATGATTTTATTCACTGGCTCCTATATGAATACATAGATTGTAGATATTTGAGCGCACAAATGTTTAGTGCGTAACGATTATGAATACTTCATTTTTTCAATTATTCCATTCTAAATTCTGTGAGAAAAATTTATATTTTCAATCTTTGGGTAGGAATTCTTTTCATATGAGTACCGATCAGTGTCAAAATAAGACTTGAACATGAAACAATGTACAATCTATAAAAATGAGAGTAAGAAACATTTATCATAATTTTCAATTCCATAGATATGATGACAGTAAATGCAACAAAAACTTGTAGTTGTAAAAAAAGATAGATTTATCTGCAATGATGCGCATTTTTAACTCGGCAAATCTCATCGCATATATCCTTGGTAGAAATTGAGTTGGTTGACACAAAAAGGGCGAATAGTAAGCTGAAGCACGAGAGCCAAAGCGAGCAAAAGAAAACAAACAGTCGTCCGCCTATCTCAGCGTTTTTTATTTCTTTTTTCAATTTTTCTCTTTTCCCATATTTACTTTCGTAGAAGCAAATAACATACCAGCAGCAAGCTCTGATATAACATCTCTCGATACTCGCACCTCTGATTTTCTTATGTTTGGGTACTTCATATATTCATATTTATACATATGGGTAAGGCTCAGAATTTTTTAAATAAACCTGCGCTCGTATGTCACCGATCTTGACGCGCTTTTGGTATGTTATAGTACATGGTAAAAAAGACCCAAAACCAAAATTTTAGACCCCCTCCCCCCTCCTACCCCCCACTTCCGGTATAAACGTCCATTTTCTATCTATATTTTTTCTGAAGGCCTGAAGCAATTAAAAAATCTGAAAAAATTCACAAAAATACTTTTCAACAATCCAAACAATCTTGAATTTTTTCAGATTTTTTGAGTGCTTCAGGCCTTCAGAAAAAATTATTGAAAATTTTGAAAATTCATATACGGCGCTACGATGCAATACAAAGCCCGATCATTTTTTCCACTTATTTTTGACATCAAAATACATAACCTCAAATTTTTTCAGATTTTTTCAGACAGAGCGCTGGCGGTTTTTAGCCAAAAAACGCCCTTTTTTTACGAAAATCATTTTTTTAGGGCGATATGAAGCTTTAAAAAATCTGGAAAAATTTTTTTCTTGTTTTTCAGGTCAAAATACATAACCTTGAATTTTTTCAAATTTTTTAATTGAAGGCGATAGCATCTGTGGCTAAAAAACGCTATTTTTATGAAAAACGGTTCCTGGAACCCAGAGGTTCCGGCAAAAAAATTTGAAAAATAATGTAATTGTGATGAACGTCTTCAGAATTTCGCTCGAATCTTTGTTATGCTCTAGAATGAGCTAGGAAGCTCCAATCGAAATTTTGCGACGGTCAAAATTTATTAAAATTTGACAAGGAATTCGAAAAAAAATTTTTCAAATTTTTTTACCGGAACCTCTGGGTTCCAGGAACCGTTTTTCATAAAAATAGCGTTTTTAGCCACAGATGCTATCGCCTTCAATTAAAAAATTTGAAAAAATTCAAGGTTATGTATTTTGACCTGAAAAACAAGAAAAAAATTTTTCCAGATTTTTTAAAGCTTCATATCGCCCTAAAAAAATGATTTTCGTAAAAAAAGGGCGTTTTTTGGCTAAAAACCGCCAGCGCTCTGTCTGAAAAAATCTGAAAAAATTTGAGGTTATGTATTTTGATGTCAAAAATAAGTGGAAAAAATGATCGGGCTTTGTATTGCATCGTAGCGCCGTATATGAATTTTCAAAATTTTCAATAATTTTTTCTGAAGGCCTGAAGCACTCAAAAAATCTGAAAAAATTCAAGATTGTTTGGATTGTTGAAAAGTATTTTTGTGAATTTTTTCAGATTTTTTAATTGCTTCAGGCCTTCAGAAAAAATATAGATAGAAAATGGACGTTTATACCGGAAGTGGGGGGTAGGAGGGGGGAGGGGGTCTAAAATTTTGGTTTTGGGTCTTTTTTACCATGTACTATAACATACCAAAAGCGCGTCAAGATCGGTGACATACGAGCGCAGGTTTATTTAAAAAATTCTGAGCCTTACCCATATACATACATACATATGTACATGGGCTATATCGCATCAACTATCCCCC